AAAAAAAAAAAAAAAAAAAAAAAAAAAGCATAACTAATGCAATGTTTTTTTACTGAATTCTGAAGAATACACAGGACTTTTCCACAGAAGGTGAAAATGTGTTTAAAGACTACAAAGGCTGCCTCTTTCTTGTGTAAAGGCGATAATCACAAAGTAAATCCCTAGACATTTCCCAGGAGTTCTCCTGACCCAGAGGTTACTTCAGGTATGGCCCAAGGACCAATGGCCTCATCCACATAAATAAATTTCCAATATATATTTCATATATTAGTCAGATTGAGTTTAGCATAAGTTATTAATGTATATTATAATGATTTATTCATTCTTTATGGATAATCCTCACTTATTAAAGATATCATTGATTGGCTGAAATTAACAATTCCCTGTTAATTCATAATTCATCTTTTAGTGATGACTATAAAATAAAACAAAGGCTGCATCAGTCATAAATTAATTTACATTTATACTGGAAATGTACGGGAGCATACTGAAAGCTTAATAGACACGCAGAATATTGGTCTCATCTTACTGAGTCAGAATCTCCATTTGAATAGGTGATTCTTGCATATAATAAAACTTGAAAAGCACTGTTCTAGACAGCTTTTGGTACATTTTGGAAGGGAGGTCTGTGCAGACCTGTTCTGTTGCTGAGAATTTGTTTAGATTCAGAGCCCCAGATACCTGCACCCCAAGAACACAAGGGGGAGCCCTAATACCCCAGTTGCCAGATCTTTCAACTGGTTGTAGCTGCTTCCTGTTCTTCACAGGGCAGGCAAAGTGAAATAGAGTATCAGAAGCAGCGGAAGTAGAGGAAGGAGAACAAAAACACCTGCTACCCCTTCCCAGTGGGGTTGCCGCCAAGAGGAGAATCTGGCAAATCCCTGGAGTCTCAGAAACATATGGAGGCCACTGTCAGAGCAGGAAGCACTCAAGGGAAAACCAGGAAAGAACAGAGTCAACACCTTGTGCTGCTACTTTTGTGTGCTGTTCTGAGTCTCCCTGGTTATTTTTCATCTCTTTAATAAGTTTCCCTACACTTCTGCTTTCTCTTTTTTTTCCTCTCAAAAGTAACAGTAATAATGATAATATCTTACATGATGCTATATACTACCTGGTATATAGTAGATACAACAGCCTTTAACAAAAGGCAAGTTTGTGGCTGTTTTGCAAATGCGAAATGTTCCATATCCTTTCTCCCATTTTTAAAATTAGGTTATCATTAAAAGTATTTCCTGTTTTTCATTCATTTTGACAAATTTTGGAGGGTTTGGGTGTGTTTGTGTACACATAAGATAATCTGTTGAGTTATTGCCACAGTGAAATGAATGAGGAAAGTGAGGAAAAATAATACCATTAAGTAGATCAACCCCCTTATTTTGGCTATAATAAAACCAAGCCTCAAGAGTTTAAGTGATGCTACTCGGATCCTACAGCAAGAGAGTAAAACCAGTATCTCCCATTCTTTACATACCACAGGACACTCTACAGTGGACTGATACGCAGAGAAGATTTAAAGATATCATGGGAGCTCAATCTTAACTTTATGTCCAAGACAGATCTCACCTAAATGGTCCTTTTAAAAAGATAGCTACTCTTACTATTCTTTAAGTTCCACAGAAGCAGAATTTCTAAGTTCCTGTGACTCGTGAGATACAGTATGATGGAGAAGGGCTTTGAAAAGTGCAAAGCATCATACAAACATGAGAGATTGTTTCTAATAATGACTGGTGCCCATAAGCCTTTATTGCTGAGAGTGTCTTCATAATATCCAAACTCAGTGCCTCTTTCTGCAATGTGAGACAGTTCCCATTTTTCAATTTTGGAGGCTTTTCACTGTCAGGTTTTCAAGCAGCTGTCTCTGCAGTCACTGGCTTATCCTGAGGGGCTCAATTCTGACCTTATGTTTTATTGTGTTTCACTTTTGCTCTTGATCTCCATTCTTTGGCATGGTGGTGATTTGACTACACAAATGGCTTCCCAGACCCTATCTGGACCATCCACTTTGTCCCTTTGCTTTGAAATGAATCTAAATTGGAAGGAAATGGGATAAAGGAGATAGAAAATGTACCATCTGGGTTCTTGGCAAACTCTTTGTTTTGTTTAAATTCTTAGTGTTGACAATTTGTCTCACTTCTTTTCTGATTTATTTCACAGGAATTACATAAACTAATGTGGTCCATGAGCTGTGTAGCTCAAATCTGTACAGTATACTACCTTTTCTTCTTCTAAATGGGATTGTTGAAACCAATGCCTGAGAGGAAATCATCCAAAATTTTCTTTGAATTCCCCAAGATGTCAAATCTCCTGACTGCTCTGACACCAATTGGATGTTTTATTCACTTAGATTGTGGGTCTGTACCAGCTGACTCCATGAAAAATAATAGACAGGCCCTTCTGGGGCCAGGTTGAACTGCAGAGTCAGACAATGAACAAAGATGTGCTTTTGATTCTTCAGTTACTGAAATTGAATAACTCTTATTTTCTTGAAAGCAGAATAAAAGCAAAGCAGATTCCTAGAGTTTATATAACATTGAAATAAATACTTGAAAACTGTATTCCTCCTTTATTGTCCTTTACATATATTTTCTTTCTCAGATATTATAAAATCTAAAATTATAGCTATGACCAGTGATTTTTTTTTAAAGAAAGGATAAAATGTTCACTTTATTGACAAAGTCACACTTTACTAAAATATGCTGTGCTCAGATATAATTTCTAATTCCTTTAGTCAATTCCATTTTCTCCCACTTTATGGTTGTGTCCGCTGTAAGGTCAGCCTGATGACAGGAGAAGGCAGTAAAAAGAGACCTTCAGCCGGCCTGGTCCCAGGCCTGGTTGCTGATAACAAAAACGCTCCAAAAGCTCTGTCAGTAACTGTGACTCATTGAGCAGAACAATGCACTTCATTTCAAATATGCTTGGCAGTTTATTTTCTTATGCCAACCTCTTATGATTTTAAGAATAACAAAAAAGGGCTCTGACTTATAAGTTTAAAAAACAAAAGCAGATAGACAAGGGTGGATATCATGCCTAGACTCTCAAAGCAGGCTAAGCGAAGCCTGAGTGAGCTTGTTCAGGTTTCAACCCAAGTGAAGTTGGACAAAATTGGTCATTTGTGGCTATTCTTTATAAAGCTGCATGTACACTCTAGCCAATATTCTCCACCCTCACATCCCAAGGGAGCCATCATAATGACAAAAGCAAGTGGAGAGAGTGCTGAATGTCAGTCCTCAATCACCCCCTTCCACAGCAAATAACCTATACAAGCGTCAAAAAGAAACTTCCCTGGGTGTTGGCAAAAAAGCCACCCTTACAGTGTGCTTAAGAGTTTAGTTTTCGAGCATATTGCTTTACTGATGGGAATATTTTTATTCTTCAAATCATAAGAGGTTGGCATAAGAAAATAAGCTGCCAAGGACATTTGAAATGAAGTGCGTTGTTCTGCTCAATAAGTCACAGTTACAGACAGAGCCTTCAGAGCAGCCACACCTCTGTCCTTCTACTCTAAAGACACAGTTTGAACAAGTAGAAAATATCTACGGCTGGGAATTTGGTTTAGAAGACAAGTCAGATAAACTGACCTTTGAACTTTAGGGTTAGACACTTGGGCAGCCATGTAATGACCAGCGCCATCTCATTCTCCAGGGGTGCGCCCTACCCAAGCACTGCCTGTCAAGAGGGAGCAAGAGGGAAACTGCTCTAGAACAGAAGAGATGCCTTCTAGAAAACAAAAATGAGGGAAACAGTTTTTACACTGTAATCCCATGCTCCTTGACCATCTGGTTTTGTTTACTTCTCCTGACTCCATTCATTCAGTCATTCCACAGAGAGTTTACCGAGCTAGGCGCTGGAAAGCACTGAATAAAACCAGATCCCATTCCTTCTCTCATACAGCAGGAAGCTGACAATCAATTATATGGTATAAATGTAACATTGTTACCATGTTCATGCAGCAAAGGTGAGTTATCTGATGCTATAG